TTTTACATTTTATTTAAAAAGTTGATTTTATTTACCGTCGGTTGTTATTTAATAAATTTTTTTTATTAATTAATTAATAATAATAATAAATAAAAACAAATTTTTTTCATTTGAAAATTGAGAAAACAAAAAAAAATTAGTAATAAATTAGAAAGTAAATAAATTAATATTTTATTTCAAAAGATTTTTGTTATTATTTTTATTATTATTAGCATTAGCATTAAATGATGAAGGGAGAGAATACAAAATACATATACATACGTACATATATGTATATAGCGTTTATTTAATATAAAATAAAATATTAATATCGGTTAATACCCCTATTTGTTGTTATTAAAAAAAAATTAAAAAACAAATTTAAAATTGATGATGGCATAGAAATTCAGTTGACAAGTGAAACTCTATATAATTACATTGAAAGGTTTAATAAGTTTATTTATTTATAATTGTTTTATATATAGAAGAAACAAAACTTTCTCTCACTTTATATATTTCACTTCTTTATCCCTTTTCTCTCTCTCTCTCTCTTTCTTCCTTTATTCTTGCCTTGTATATTTATAATATACACAAATATATATATTTTGATAAAGGGAAAAATTGAAAATCAGAGCAATTTATAACGTTTTCAATATCTTATATTCTGTCTTCTAAGAATTTTTTATAAAATATTTGCCATCAATCATTCGTTTTTGACAGACCATCCCTAAATGTATCCAATTTTATGTTCTATGCTTCGTTTTTTTTTAATAAAACACCACAGGAAGATGAGAAATAAAAAAAAAATTTTCTTTTTTTTTTGTTCTAGAGACTCAAAACAAGTGAAAATGTTTTGTTGCTCGCAAAAGAAAAATTAAAAAAAAAAAAATTTCTTACCTTGTAAGGGTGATTTAACATCTCTATCGTTTTGCTGTTGCTGTCGAGCTTTTCTCTCTATTTCAAATTCTTGGACCAAAGATTCTGTAAAAAAAAAAAAAAAAAAAAAATTAAAATTAATTCTTTCAATTTATTTTAAATATGCAAAAAAATGGAGGGAGGGGGTGGAGAGACTCTAAAAAAAAGGGTTTAATTTAAATATAATGAAAAACTAATCAAATTAAAACAATCGGTTTTGTAAAGAAATTTATTCGGGAACATCGATTATTGTTTTTTTTTTTTTTTTAAATGTCCGGAAAATTCTTATTAAAAAAAAGTGAAGTGAAATTACGCGTGTTTCTATTATAATATATATATATAAAAGTTAGTTTTATAGGTTTTAAAAAGTAACAAGAGAGTTAAAAAATAAAAAAAAAGGAAAATAAATAAATAATAGAGGGAAACAAAAATAGGAATATTTTCCTATAAGTGAGTTACGCCGAAGGCACGACGAAAGAAAAAAAAAAACACAAAGGCAAATGTACCTCGAGGGATGGATGGAGGTGGAATTTAGATCTACTTTCTTATTAAATTTTATTAAAGATGAAGTAGGAGGAGGGTAGGAAATAGGGAGGGGGAAGAGGGGGTGGTAGAGACGGTTTCAGAACTTTCCGTACCCTCAAAAACATTAAACACATGAAATATTTTTTTTATACGATTAAGATTTTTAAAGACGATTTCTGAACATAGTGATCATTGTTATGTTGTCGTCATCATATAACGTCATACATATTAAATTTTAAAAATTATATGGAATACATAAAAATCTCTCTCTCTCTCTTTCTCTATAATATAAATAAAAAAAATAATAAAAAGGAATAATGACACAAATGATTTTTTCGATTAAAAAAAAATTAGTTATCACTTTTTATGACATTTAATAATTTCTCGCAAATCATTACAAAATCTAAAAACTTTTTATTTAATAGTTTAAATGATAATAATAATAATCAACATGCGAGCGTAAAATTAAAAATGTGTGAGAGAGAGAAAGAGAAAGAGAGAAAACGTGACTATTAAAAAAAAAAAAAAAAAAAACGAAATCAATTGAAAACTAATCCGTGACGTGTGAATAGAAAAAGATTCCGATTGAAAAATAAAAAATAAAAAACTTTGTGTGCGCGCGTGTGGGAGGAGGAGGGGGAAGGCGAGTGATGAAAATCAAAAATTATTTCTACATCATTTCACATACGGGGTGAAATGATTTTTTTTTTCCAATTGACAAAACTAAAAACAAACAAACAAACAACAAAAAAAAGAAATAAAATAAAATTTTTTTAAAATAGTAATGATTTTCTAATAAATTTTCCCGAGTCGGAAAAGACTTAGGGAATGAGGGGGGAGGATGAGGGGGGAGGGGAAGGGAAAATGAGGAAGACAAAACAGAAAAAACCTCGATTTGAATAATAAACAAAATGAATTCATGTGTATAATGCTCTTTGAAAAGTCAATGCCTTAAGGGTCATGATTCATAGGGCGAAAAAATAAAAAAAAAAATTGCAAGATTCGGTTCACTTGGTTTTGGTAAAAAAAAAAAAAAACACAAAATGGCCAAGAGAAAATTATTTTTACATAATTTTTACTTAATTAATCATTTAATTAACTAAAATCATCATTTGTTTTATTTAAATAAATTAAACGAAGTAAGTATACATAAAATCACATCCATGTTTTTTTTTTTTTTTCACATAACATCTATTTTCAAATAAAGATTATAAAAAAAAAAAAAAAAAGGAAAACTAATAATTCTTAATATCTACGAGATATTTTATAAATTATATAGAGAATAAAAAAAGTAAACGTTTTTTTTTTTTTTTTTCTATAAAAGGGCCCGAAGACAAATGAAAATAAAAAAAGAAAAAGAAAGAAAGAAAAAAAAAATTTCCCCCCTTAAAGCCTTTGTAAACCCTCTTCGACCCCCCCCCCCCCCCCCGAGTAATTTAAAATAGCTTTAACAAAATCATTTCATCCTTATGATTCACAAACGACGAAAAGAAAATTTAAATATTTCACGCTTTTCTTTAATCCTATTTCATTTTCTCTTTGTCTTTCTCTCTCTCTCTCACTTTGTTTTTTTTTCTTCATTTCCTTCAGAAAGATTCAACATATATTTTAAATTTCTTCATATCTCCAACTTTGTTTCGTTTATGCACATGTAATATGCTTTTTTTTTAAACTTTGTCTCTCTCCTTCTTCTTCTTCTTTTTCTGTTCCTTAACTTTTCCCCTCTTCCCTTTATTACTATTATTATTATTATTATTTTATGTTTTTCCATTTTATTTTGAATTTTTTTTTTTTTAACATTCGTGTGCATGCACATGTGTTTGCGTGGTGGTGGTGATGTGTGTGTGGGTGGGTTGTTGATAATCATACAAGAAATAATAATGATAACAAAAAAAAAAAAAAAAATTTTCTTTTAATTGTAAAACGTTCGTTTCGATTTCTAGAAATTTCTAAAATTGAAAATTCAAATGTAAAAACAACAAACAAGAAAAAAATATTTATTTAAGAATAAGATTGTAAATTAAATTTGAGTCTTCGTGTAAGAATAAAATTGTTTTTCCAGATTTTTTTTTTTTAAATCCCGGATTTCACGGGGAGAGAGAGAGAAAGAGAGAGAGAGAGAGAAATTTTCTGACTAAATCATTCCCGATGATTGAATAAGAAAAAAAAGAAAAATAAAATTTTTTTTTCGGTTTAGCAATCATTTCCGGTTAGCGAAATAAAAAATTAAAATGAAATATTTATTTATTTACTTTAATTTTTTTTTTTATTTACCGTAAAATGACCCCCAGAGGTCGCAAAAATTTTCCATCTTAATTAATTATTAAAGAAGATTATTAAGGAAAATTACAAAAGAAAATTTTGTGTTTTTACTTCCGACATGTTCGTTTTGTTTTCTTAACTATAAAAGTTAATATTTTAAATAATTTTAGTGGATTCCGCGCGTGAATCGACCTTCGTTCGGTTAATTTATATTAAAAAGGACTTTTTAGGACTGGTAAGGGTGGTAGTAGTGGTGGTGTAAGGGTGTGTAAATTAAAAACTTTTTACTCAATTTCATTAAATCCGCGACCACAATGATGACGACGATGTATGTTAAAAATAATATTTACAATGTAAAACGTTGATTTATATATATATATATATATGTGTGTTTTAACAAATATACGAGCTCACGCACGCACACACGCGCACACACACGCACACACGCGCACACACACGCACATATTCAAAGAAAAAAAAATAAATATATATATATTAATAATAATATTGCGAAGAATATATGTAAATTTATGTTTAATATTAATATAAATTGGTGGAGGTGATGCGCTCATGGAAGCTTTATTCAATTTCATGCTTCGCTTCCTTTTATAAAAAACACTTTTTCCACTTTAGATCTTTCTGTTCTTTTTTTTTTTTTTTGTCTTTTAATTTTTTTTTTTTTTTTTTTTCGTTACCCTCTTTTTTTTTCCTGGAAAATATTTTTTCTCGGTTCTTTACGTGATTCAACATATTACGATCCACACTTAAAAAATAAAATAAAATGAAACAAATTATTATTATTATTATTTGCTCTCTTCTCTTTTTATTTTATTTTTTATTAGGTATTTTGAAAAAGTTTATTTAATAATAATGATAATAATAATTTTTTTTTATTTTTTCCGAGCGTTTTTTCTTTTTTACCCCTCGAAAATTTAAATTTGAAAATTTTTTTTTTTTTATTCAAACTATAGTTAATAAGAAGCCAGCCCCGTCGTTTGTTACACCGTGTAACCTTTTTTTTTTTATGGTCAAATTTTCCAAAGTAAGTACAAAAGTAAAAAGTTTTGTTAAGATGCAACTAAGAAACCCGACGTGAAGAAAAGTTTGTCCGGAGCAGCCCGGCGGGGCTCAAAAGCGGAAATCTCCTAGGAAGGAAGGAAGGAAGGAAAATAGGAAGAAAACCCTTTTTGAGAGAGTGAGAGAGAGAGAGTCCTCTCAAAAGTGGCGGCTTTCCCTCCCTCTTCTAATCCTTAACTTCCTACTCTAATCTAAAATGAATTGATAATTAGTTTTGAATATTGCGGGTTCCGCTTAACGAACTAAGCTTTCCACCAAAGGTTGATGGCATTCATCATGGTTTCTTCTTTTTCCTTCTCATACTCTAAAAACTTAATATTTGATTTTAAGAGGACTTTCAACGCCTACCTTCTTCATCTTCTTCTAAAGAAAAACCAAACCCCGGAAATCATTATAATCCATCCATCTTTTGATGAAAAATATTTTTTTTTTCTTTACCCGATGAATATCCGGTTTTTGAATTTTACTCTAAACTTTATAATAATAATAAATATTGAATTTTCAAAGGAAGAAGAAAAAGAACAAAGGAAAACAAGAAAAAAAAATTTTTTTTTTTTTACGACTCATTGTAGAGAAAATTATAAAAATTTATGAGTTATGAGATCCGTCGGGTGTTTTTTGTCGCTCTCAACTAAAACTCTCTGTTGTGCGTGTGAGTGCGTGAGTGCGCGCGAGAGGGAGGGGAAGGGGGAGGGGGACGTAAATAAATAAAAAAAAACATTACCTGAATAATTTTGCCAAAAATTTCCAGAGTTCATAATATCTAATCCGGAATAATTCCATTGTTTTTCATTTGTTAGTTCTCTTTCTTTTTCTCTTTCTGAGATTGTCTGCTGAGATCGAGAAAAAGGACTCTCAGATCTGTCTTTTCCCTGAACGGATGACGATAGTCTTTCTCTTGGTTTTTCTTCGTTTTCTGCTGCTGCTGCTGCAGCTGCATTTGCTGCACTTTCTGAAATACAAATATTACCAATAAATTTTTTCAAACTTATTTACAATATGAAAATGATTTCTTTTTTAGACGATAACGATCGTTTATTTGTTATCAAATGTAGTTGTGTGCGCGTGCGCGTGTGATTGATTGATAATGTTATGCGTTCGTGCGTGTACGTAAAACTTACCATTAATAAGTCTTAAAGCTTCAGCGGGATTATTTGTATTTTTAATTGCTTCTTCTAACTGAGATCGACGTTTTATTTCTAATTCCAGTTGTTCCTGGAGTCGTCGTCTTGCCTTTTTTTCTTTTTTTAGCCTTTTCTGGTAAAGTACTGGAAAAAAAAAAGAAAAACAATATTTAGTATTAGATTTCTATAATGTTACAAATTGCAACAACACGGAAAATTTAATGTTAATAATAATAATAATAGTGAGTAACTACGTCGTTTAATTTGTTATTATAATTTAAATAAAATAAAAACTAAATGATAAAATTGATAAGACGACATCTTATATATTCGGTACTATAAATAATTAATTTTCACGTTAAGAAAAAAAATTTATATATATTTGTAACGATAATAGCGATGATGATGATAATAATGATGATGATGATGATAGTAATAATAATTTATTGTTATTTTTTTTTTCTTTTTTTCGGACAATAAAATTTGATTGCCGAGAAATTGTGATTTTTTTTTTTTTGTTCTTTTTCTTTTTGTAGCCCTTAACCCTCCCCTGCCCTACTTCTCCTCCTCCTCCTCCACCTCTAACACATTTTAGGAACTTTTTTTCCATTATTCCATGGTATTTACGATATATTTTGTTTGGTCGTCACTGATAAAACATTTTCTTTCTTCAAATTCTTTATCTTTTACAATAATATTTAATAACTTTCAATTTATAGTTATTGGATTTTTACTGAGATTGTTTTCACACGAAAACTCTCTCTCTCTCTCTCTCTCTCTCTCTCACTCTCACCACCCTTTTTTTTTTTCTTTTCATTTTCATTTTTTTTTTTTCTTCTTCTTTTTTTTTTGTTTTGAAAAATTGCAATCGAGTTACAGAAAAAAAAGGAAAGAAAAAAAAAGTTTTTATTTACTTTTACGTAGATTTTTTTTTTTTTTGAAAAAATAAATAATTATTATTATTACATAATGATAATGATAACATTTATAAGAATTACAAAAAAATAATAATAATAATAACGAAAGTTTTGTTGTTGTTGTTGTAACACATTTAACCAATTGAATTCCAATTTTTGTTGTTTCGTTGAACAATTTTCGAAAACATATTTTTTATATAAAATTTTATTTTTTTTTTGTCTTTTTACGTGAACAGAAATCAAAAAAATGTGAAAAACTCGTGAAATGTTTGAAGAAAAAAAAATAAAAGAAAGTTGAAAGGTCAAATGATGGTTGTTAAATTTTTTTTTTTTTTCCGTTTTACGATATCAATTTGATAAAAGTTTTCACGAGGGTAATACGTAATGTTTTTTGTCATAAAAAAAAAGAAAATCAAATATGTTATGTTTCAAAAAAAAAAAATATTACGACCAACGATTGAATATAAAAATGAAAAAAAATTTTTTCCTTATGGACACGCACAATAATATTTATTTATATCAGTGTTTATGATAATAATAATAATTCGTCGTAAATGATTTTTTTACGTAACAATAAATAATAATAATAAGTTTTAAAAAATATATATTAATTATTACTCAGGTATTTTTACCTGAATTTTATTTTTTTTATTTTTTAAACAAAACCGGAAAACCTTGAAAATTGATTATCAATTAAATATTTTTTTTTTTTTAAATTTTAAGCCGAAAATAATGAAAAAAAAAAATTATTATTATCAAAGACAATAAAAGAACAAAAGAAAAAAAAAATTTTATATATAAAAAAGCGGATGATGCAGCTGCCATCATTGCCTCCAAGTCAAAATTAATCAATAATAAATCAATATTTTCCATTAATTTTTGTCTGCCATCCATGTATCGATTTTCTCTCATCTCTCGACCAATCAATTTTACACTGAATCATTTATAAAAATGATTGAAATTCAGAAGCTTTTCATTATTATTATTATTATTATTATTATTACAATACGTTTATAATAATTATGGACCTCGTGTAAAAATAAAAATTTTTTTTTTTAAAAAACATTTTCTTTAACTTTTTTTTTCTTTTAAGTCAAATAATTTTCTTTAAAAATTTCTCATTCATATTTGTATACATAAAAATAAATTTGGAAAAACTTTAAAAATGGCGACCTCATATCGGTATTACCGAAGGGGGAAAAAAAAAAAATTAAACTCAGGATTCGAATCATCGATCTGTCTACCTGGTTATATAACCTTTTTTTTTTCCTTTTCCTAGACCTCGAAAGGTTTTTTTCGGTCGTGCTAATCGCTATCCTTCGAAGGGCACTTTATTATTATTATTATTATTGTCATTTAATAAAAGCAATTTGTTCGAAAAAGGAAAACGACGGACTTAATCTTTATAATGCGATTTTACCCTTAGAAATTCCATAATGTCCTTTTGTCTTATTAATTGCAAAACACGTAGATTCAACAGAAGGTTGTAATGGTATTTTTTGGAAGGGAGGGAGGGAGGGGAGGGGAGGGGGGTTAAGGCTAAAATTTCGCACATGAAATTCTTAGGAAAAAGGTGGGAAAAAAGGGAGAAATTTACTTAAAACTTTACAGAATAAGTTTTAATGCTTTATGACAAACGAGTTATCTTAAGTCTTTCGGCCATGTGTTCCCATGAATACCCAAAATGAATGTTAATTCAAAATTTTCTCTTCCTTTTTTTTTTTCCAGGTAACTGCGTGTGTGTGTGTTTGAGGGGGGTTGAAAGGGGTGGGGGAAAGAGCCGTTGTAAGTTAGTTAGCTAAAAGTGAGTTAGTGCGCGCGGATGTGTTTTTATTACGTTATTATACAATTTTTTAAATAATTTATAATAAATAATTAGTCAATAAAACGTAATCGATCGCATTAAATTTTTTTTTTTTTTTTTAATCATAAAAACCTTCGTTATTTATATAATATATCTTTAATATAAAATTAATAATTAAAAAATTTATTTTTTTCAAAATCAAAATACTATAAAATACAAATATAATAATGCGTTACAAAAAAAAAAAATTTATATAAATTTGGAAAGTTTTTAAAATTAATAAAAAGATAACCCGAACGAGCGGGAGAGACGTCGAAAGGTTTTTCGTGAAACAAGCATTAATCTTTAAATCTTCTTTTCTCCAAAAAATAAGAGCGAAATCGGCCCTAATGGGTGGTGGTGGCGGTGGGGGTAGTGGTGGTGGTGGTGGAATTAACCAAGTTTCCATTAAGTGAAACCCATTTGAGTTATTTTCCTAAGCGGAATAAAATAATATCAATTAAAAGGGTAGATGGGCTTAAAAAAGAAGAGGAAACTTTGGGTGGAAGCCTGTTTATTATTATTACAAGAATCTTTAGAAAGTCTTTAAATTCAATTTAAGATGGATTCAACCCTTTCCGAAAAAAAAAAAAACAAAAAAAAAAGACACGGAATAAACCTGAAGACGTTAGAAGAAGAAGAATGAAAAGTAACAAAAAATTATAACTCGTCCTTTTTATGTAAAAATGAGAATAAAAAGTGTTCAGAAAACCTCGTTTCCGCTCGGTGAAAGCGTTAACAGGGTTAGTCATAATGGAAACAAAAAGGGAAACAAGGAGAGAGAGAGAAAGAGAGAGAGGGGGAGAAGAAAATAGGAGGAGAAGGGAGAGAATGTGAACAGTAAGAGAAAGAGAAAAGAACAAGTATGAGATGAGAGAAAAAAAAAAAAAGGAGGTAAATGTGAATGGTGTCGGTGGTGTCGGAGGTGGTGGTGGTGGTGGCGTCGGTGGTGTGGGGTGATGATGGGGGTTTAATCCTAGGAATCGGCCAAAGTCTTATTGTTGTAGAAAAGTTAAAGCTAATTTACATCTTTTTTTTTCTTTTCGTTTATTTTATTTTATTTTTAATAAATTTTTTTTTTATTAAAGTTAATTTTTTTCGTTCTTTCGTTCCTTCGTTCACGACAATTATTATTATTAATTTAAAAAAAGAAAAAAAGCCAAAAGTTTATTTGTTTCAAATTACAAAAATTTTTTTCTGACCTTTTGTATTTGAGATGGTTGCGGATCGTCAAAAATACCTTTTTACTCGTATTACTTTACGTTTTCGACCTTCCGCAGTTATTGAATGTCTTTCAAAGAATTTCTTTCCTTCAAAAGACTTCGGTTACGGAAAATTTAACAAATTTTCTTTACACACACACACAGACAACAACAACAACAAAAAAAAAAAGACAAAAAAAAAAGAAACATGCATATTTTAGTTAAATAATTTACATGCGTTGTTATCCTTTTTATCTTATTTCACTTTAAAACTTTCATTTTGGTTTTTGGTTACAAAAAAGGTATAAAATGAAAAATTAAAATTCTAATAAAAATTAAATTTTTTAAATTTTTTTTTAAGAAAAAAAAAAAAACAATCGTCGGAATTTTTTAAAATTTTTATTTAAAACAATAAAAAGACACCACAGGCGTAAATTCTCATTAAAATTCAATAATAAAAAAAAAAAAGAAAAAACACACAAAAGTGATTGAAGAGAGAGAGAGAGAGAGAGAAGGAGAGTGATTAGATGAAGATCTGGAACGGATGCTGCCGATAAGTATGCGGAACTTGTAATATAAAAGTGAAAATTGTAATAAATAAAAGTCTTTCTTTCGACAAGTGGCCACTGGTCAGAATTTCAATATTTTAATAACGTTCGAATAAGAACACCAGCCGGTAAATAGGTAGGTAGGTAGGTAGGTAGTTAGGAATAATTTAAAAAAAAAAAAAAGACACTTTCGACTTTCGAATTTTGTGTCTTTATTTTTTTTTGTTAGAATAAAAATTTTTGTTATACTTTGATTGAAATAAATTATAATAAAAGGGCAAAATGATTTTTAGTACCAAAATAAATTCTGTTGCGGTTATTTAAAGGAGATTTATAATAGAAACAAGTTTAAAATTAAGAAGCTGATGCCAACACGAATACAAAACATGACCCACAAAACCTTGTTTGATGAAACATCCTTTTCACCGCCGCCATCAAGTTAAATTATGTTTTCTTACGTTCAATTTAAAAAAAAATTTTTTTTTCTTAGCGCATATTGCCTAAACAGTAAAAATTTGGCGTTTTCTATAATAAAAAAAAAAAAAAATGTTGGGGGTCGGGAAATGAAAACAATTGTCATGAAAAGAGGTCATCAAAATAAGGGACACAATCCGAAAGGGGAAATAATTTTTTTTTTTTTTTTTGTTTTTAATAATTAAGCCCCAAGAGTAACGAATTATAAATCATAAAATAAGACAAGGCCATCAATTGGCATCACGTTCCTCAAGTACGAAGAGTAGGGAAAAATTATGTAATGCGAAACTTTTTATCGATAACATTTTAAAGAAATTTTTAATTTGCATCAACCGTTTTAACAACAACACATTGTTTCTTTCTTTTTTTAATATTTTTTCTTTCTTTCTTTTTCTTCTTACGAATAAAATAATAAAAAAAAACGCGGATAATAATAATAATAATAATAAAGATGAACCGCCATCGATTCGTTTTTTTTTTTTTTATATACATAACAATAGAATTTAAGAATATATTATTATTATTATTAAAGTGAGGAGAGGAAGGAAAGGAAGGATTCCTATTGTCCCGGTTCGGGTTATAGAACATTGACATTTTAAGTATCCCCAAATCCATTGTCGTATATATATAAGAGATATAAAATTTTTAATATGAGATTTTATGCTGACTTTTAACAATGAATGCCCCAAATATTTCTTTAAAAAGATTTTCTTTTTTTTTTCCTTTTCTGTTCGGAAATGGAAAAATATATAGAGAATGAATTTAAATGGATTTTTACCATACGTATAAATATTATTATTATTATTATTTATTAATAAAAATGTTTCAAAAATTGAAAGTTTTATAATAATAATAATAGTAATAAATCTTGGGAAAGAAAAAAAAGAAAAAATTACTAAGGGGTTTTTTTGTTGTTGTTGTTGTTGTCGTTCCTTGTTTTAAATTCATTAATTTGAAAATAAAGACAATAATAATAATAATAATAATTAAAAAGTTTTTGATAGTAAAAATTAAATGGCATATCGTATTATTATCGTCTAGCCAACCAATTTCACCTTCTCTGTTATTAATCATTTGAATAGAAAATCCCAAGAAAACTTTATTTGGCATTTTCTACAGATTTTCTTTTTTCTTTTTTTAAAGGTCACTTCTCTCTCTCTCTCTTTCTTTTTCCGACACAAAAGACAAATGGAAACCTTAAAAGAAAACGCAGAAAAAAAAAGGGGAAAGGAAGAGAAATTTTTTTTTTTTTTTTATTTTCCTACCCTTAATCAATAAGAAATTAATAATTTTTTTACGTATATGTCGTCTGGTTAGTGCATATCAGAAAAAATGACATTAATTAATGTTGTTTGTTTGTTTGTTTGTTTGTTATTAATAACAATTTTTTTTTCAATGCATTTTTTTATTTAAAAAGTAATTAAAACAACGGGGAGAAAGAAAAAAAGAAAAATGAAGAGGAGGGAAAAAAAGAAAAAAATGTAAACTCATGGAAACCTCATATCCGATAATTAATAAAAAGGAAAAAGAAAAAAAAATTAATTTAATTCATTGATTATTAAAAGAAAAAGAAAAGTTTTAAATAATAAAATGAAATGTTTTTCTTTTTTTTCCAGATAAAATAAAGGAAATGATATCCAGAGAAAACGGCCTCAAATTTTACTGCAGTCATTTTACCAGCTGGATAATTCTCTGGAGGCGTAATGAAGACTTTTCTCTTTATTGCTTACTTTTACTCCCCGTTAATTTAATATTGAATTCAATTTCACACTTTTAACTAACTTTAAATTTCTTTCTTACTTTATATATATAACAAAATCAAAATTCATTTATACTATTTTATATCTATAAAAACCGTTTTCTTTTTTAATATTAAACATTTTCATTTTATATATTTAAAAAAAAAAAATCGTGTTAATTAGTTATGTGACCTTATTTATAAATAAATAAAACTAACCTCTAGTTTTCTGTTCGTCCATCAATTGACGTTCCAGGCTGTCTTTCATTTCTCTTTCCCGAAGGATATCCATTTTTAATTCAGCTAAAAATAAAATAAAAATTTTTTTTTATTTACGGGTTAACAAATGCAAAAAAAAAAAATGAATTTTTATTACATGAAAAAGGAAAGAAAAGAAAAAAAAAGAAAAAAAGGGAATTTTCGTGTATTTTTATGAGTCATTCAATTACAATTTTTTTGCGGGAGGAAAATGAAAAAGTGGCAGAAGAATCAAAACAGGAATGAGTGAAGAGGATATGCAGAAAATGTTTTTTTTTTTTTTCTCTTTTCTTAAAATCGGTAAAACTAAAATATTACAGTTTAAATTTACATAAGAATTGAAAAACGTTTTTGGCCTCGAGGATCTTTTTTCTCTCTCACTCCCTTTCCCCCTCTCTCTCTTTTTTAATCTTGTTTTCTCATTGTTTGTTATTTCCTTTTCATTTTTCTTTCTTTCCTTTTTTTTTTTTATTCGAATTTTCGAGTTTCCTTTTTTTTTTTAATATATTATTTTACTAATTTGTCATTAAAAAAAAAAAAAAAAAAAAAAGGGAATAATAATCGATATCGAATGAATAAAAAATTTAGGGCAAATTATTTTAAATTCTTTTTTTCTATGATTTGTAATCAATCATAAATAAATAAATAAATAAATAAAATAACAATAAAAAAGAAAAAAATTTATCTTTATGTGAATGCACGTATTAAAATAAATCAATCAAAATTTTTTGACATTTTTCTTTTATTCATTTGTTTAATAAAAAAATTTTTTTT